AGGGGTGCTTATTTTGCAGTTTAAACTGTAGTGTAAAGCACCCTTCTGGCAAGACAGTGATGGAGTGAATGATGGTGAAAGTTTTTCTTTTTTGGGCCACCCTGCCTTGGTGGGAATCAGCCAGTGTGTTAATAATTAATAATAATAATAATGTAGTCCTAAGTAGTAGGTTGGTAGACAGCAACCGCCCAGTGAGGTACTACCGTCCTGCCAGGTGAGTGTAAAACTGAAGCCTGTAATTGTTTTACACGATGGTAGGATTGCTGGTGTCTTTTTTTTTTTTCTGTCTCATACACATGCAAGATTTCAGGTACATCTTGCTACTTCTACTTACACTTAGGTCACACTACACATACATGTACAAGCATATACAGTGGACCCCCGCATAACGATCACCTCCGAATGCGACCAATTATGTAAGTGTATTTATGTAAGTGAGTTTGTACGTGTATGTTTGGGGGTCTGAAATGGACTAATCTACTTCACAATATTCCTTATGGGAACAAATTCGGTCAGTACTGGCACCTGAACATACTTCTGGAGTGAAAAAATATCGTTAACCGGGGGTCCACTGTATATACACACCCCTTTGGGTTTTCTTCTATTTTCTTTCTAGTTCTTGTTCTTGTTTATTTCCTCTTACCTCCATGGGGAAGTGGAACAGAATTCTTCCTCCATAAGCCATGCGTGTTGTAAGAGGCGACTAAAATGCCAGGAGCAAGGGGCTAGTAACCCCTTCTCCTGTATATATTACTAAATGTAAAAGGAGAAACTTTCGTTTTTCCTTTTGGGCCACCCTGCCTCGTTGGGATACAGCCAGTGTGTTGAAAGAAAGAAATAATGTAGTAGCGTAATTGTACAACACTATTCGCGCCACTGGTAGTATCTGGCTATCAAGAAGACTCATCAGATACTGAAGGTATTTTTCTGTAAGCTTAACTCATTTTTTGTATTTTTTTAAATTTTTTTTTAATCCACGAGCCGTGGGTGCATGCAGAGTGTCAGCCGCTCCGTAAAAATGAAGCCTTTGCTTGTCTTTCACTTGGATAGAGAAGCACTGTATTTATTTTTTTTTTTTAGCTTTATGCACAATAGGCTTGTAAACTTTGCATTAACCCTTTGAGGGTCGACAGACCCTCTCCCAGACTTGTTCTCAGGGTCGAAAAAAAAAAAAAAAAAAAAAAAAAAAAAAAAAAAAAAAAAAAAAAAAAATCTTATGAAAAAAGTTTTTTTTTCTACACAATTTAAGCTACAAAAAAAAAAACAAATTTGCCATCAATACTTACCGAGATATGGAGGCGTGAAGTTGACAGAAGTTCAACTGCATATGGTATCACTGCTGACTGCCGGCCACCCGGTAATCACTTTTTTTTTTTTTTTTATATATTATTTTTTAATATTTTTTCTTTTCAAGTTACTTTGTGGCCTGTGAGACCAATATGACCACTATTTTGTATGTATTTACAGTTTCTATACGACACAATAACTGCACAAACACTTTTGTCATTGTTTACAAAACATATTTACACAAACGAACAACATAAACTGCTATTTATTACTATTTTTCTAAATTTTATATACACAATACAGTCACTGGACACGTTTCTAGAAGTTCTGCAGCCTGTGGAACTCTCTGAAACATGGTGTCATGAACAATGGTGTTTCACACTCCTCACACATAAAACGAGTGCGCGCGTTTTTGTGGGCGTTTTTTTGTATGTGCAGACAAAACACCTCTTCTGAGCCTTTTTTTTCTAAGCAGTAGCAGGCAGTTGTATTAGAAAGTGATCACCATGCCTCAGACGAGAGGGTAGTTGACGACCAGTTCGCAGGCGTTGTTCTATTGCAGGTGTTGTTACTTGGTACGTACTTTTATAATATTTGTTTGATGACAGACAAACAAAATTGACCATATGGTGGTTTGTTTCTGTTCTTCAACTCACACACATTATAAGCATTCAGTATGGAAATGTCCACAAGATGAAAAAAGTTTTATGTACCACTTATAACTCTTGTGAACACAATCAGCAAACCCAATTTGCATATCACATTTGTCCACTGAGCGCATATTGAGGGTGTAGTCCATCACAGCTGCAGGTTTTAGAATAGGTTCATTGGTCTCTCTATGCTGCCTGCCAGTGTCTGTCATTTCATTTCGGTGAACTGATGACAACAGTGTGACATCTCGTTTGTCATGCCACCGAAATGCCATGATGTCATTGGCAGCAAACGCCTGCACCTCACCTCTACGAGTGCCAGCATTGAACCTGGGCATATGTTTACGATTTCCACACACTGTGCCACACACATCTGTCATATTCACTTGCGAACAATCACTGAGTGAGGGGCTTGTGTACCAGTTATCAGTATATAATATATGCCCCTTACCAAGATATGGTTCCATCATTGTTCTAACCACATCACCAGAGATACCCAATAACTTCCTGATATCTTGCAATGTATTACTTCCAGTGTACACAATAATAATATCCAATAATATCCAATACAAGACCACTGTAGCAATCACACAGAACAAATAACTTTATACCAAAGCGTTTCCTCTTGCTTGGTATATACTGCTTGAATGACAGTCTGCCTTTGAACAAAATCAGACTCATCAATAACAAGCTTCCTGAAGTGATAAAAATACATATTGAATTTCTGTTTCAGATACATAAACACATTTCTAATCTTATATAACCTGTCTTTTCTGTCAAGCCTGGTTTTGTCTGAGAAGTGTAACATACGTAACAGTAGCACAAATCGATTCACTGGTATTATATCACTGAAAGCTGGGGTTGCAATGAGGCGGTCTGTTGACCAGTATGATTTGACAGTGTGCTTATACACATGTGGCATAAACATTATTGTGCCAAACAAAAGATACATCTCAGTCACAGTTGTCTCCTACCACTGGTGTAACCGTGATCTTGGTGAAAGAATTGTGTTTGCCATGGTGTACTTGTAGTATCTGTTGCTTTCCCTGACAATAACTTCCATCAGGGGTTCATCAAAGAATAACTCGAAACATTCTAGTTCAGTGGCATTGCTCCCAAGTGTACAAGATGGCTGTAGTCCACTTTGAGTTTCATCAAACTGATGGGGATTGGGAACAAAACTGGCAGCTTCCTGCCAATCCCAGGTGCGGTCTGCTGGTGGGTACTGGATATTGACAGGTGGTTGAGGAGGTTGTAGTTGTGGGTGAGTAGATGAGGGCCGCTGCTGGTGCCTCATGGCTGGCACCACCACCATCTTCTGACGCCTGCACATTTTTTATCCCCATTGTAACAATATCATCTTCATTTTCACTATCTGCTCCTGTTGTACGGCCACGAGATGTACCGTGAGATGTGCTCCTTACCCTTGGAACAGTATATGGCACACTACCAGAGCGCATGTAGCGTCGTATATACTGACGCTTCACTAGAGAATATTCTGCTTCACTTTCGCTACTGGAACTGTTTTCAAGAGCTTGGAGCTCATATTCACTATCACTATCATCACCACTGCTCACATCTGTGTCCTCAGCACTGGAAAATACGAGTTTCCTCTTTCGTTCTGGTGCAACTGAATGTGAACAAGACGGCCCAACAACAGATGTGGAAGGTTGGGGGTCGTCTGGATTGTCATCACCATTACCACTATTATGTTCATTATTCTCAGTCACAAACTCCCCAAAACCCTGGAAATCATCTTCACTGACACTTCCATCCATATCTGAACTGTCACTTGGGAACAAAAGTCTCAATTCGCCGAGGAGTGAGGAGTTTCTTATCGCGAGGCATGGTGGACAAGGTGAACTAAAATGGCATTCCCACAATGCTCCACTGGGTGCCCGAATTTTTCCCAACTGCGCACACTGACCACGCACACCCATTCTCTCACATGTAGGCCTACCAGCTTTCTCCTGCTCAATTTGAAGGTACTAGAATTTATGCGTACTAGTACGTGACTGACCCTGGCTGCAATGACTTACTAGTACGTGACCGACCCTCAAAGGGTTAAAATGCTTTTGTAAGTACTATATTTTTGGGGGTCTGAAACAGATTAATCTAATTTACATTATTCCTTATGGGAAAAATTTGTTCGGTATTCAAACAGACGCACTCGAATAGCCTTCTGGAACGAATTAAGTTCGAGTACCGAGGTTCCACTGTATTTTAATTGCTTAAACTGGAGCTAATGACCAAACTTTGCTTTAATAAGAATTAATATTGAAAATGTAGTCCCCATTGAATTATATTTTAATCAATAATTTAGAAATTGCTATTTAGCTATTTCAATCAATAAGATGGAAAAAAAATCCTTCAAGTATTTGAATCTGACCAGCTGGGCTGTGGTTCATACATCAGTTTGTGCACAACCAGCAGTAACAGCCTGGTTAATCAGACCCTGTCTCAGACCAGGCCGAGGAAGCGCTGACCCCCGAAACCCTCTCCAGGTATGGCACTACAGGACTGACTACCCTGACCACACTGATGCTGCTTTATTCTTGCACTATTTCTTTGCCAGTTTGCTTAATATAAGAACAATACTTCCTCAAAATAACCTACAGCAGTTCTTACAAGCAAGGTACTCAATTAAATCTGCAAGGAAGCTAGGGACTTTTAACCAGTAAGTTCCTGACAGTACATACTTTATGTTAACCCATATACAGTGGACCCCCGGTTTACGATATTTTTTCATTCCAGAAGTATGTTCAGGTGCCATTACTGAACGAATTTGTTCCCATAAGGAATATTGTGAATTAGATTAGTCCATTTCAGACCCCCAAACATACACGTACAAACGCACTTACATAAATACACTTGCATAATTGGTCGCATTGGGAGCTGATCGTAAAGCGGGGGGTCCACTGTATTGTAATTCTTCATCGTCTGGGATATATTTGCAAGATTATCAGGATAAGGTATTACACAAAAGGTTAAGAATACATTTTAGTACTAGTAATGTAAAAAATTAAAGACAGAGTTAAACATCTAGCTTCTGGTATTCTTACCATAAGTCCTTCTTCTAATACAGGTTTTGCAGTAAGGTAATGTATAATTTCATTGCGAAGCTGGATAAGACCTCTCTTTTCACTGTCTCCTGCTGGCACTTCAACCATAGAACCATCCCTGAAATCACATGAAAATATTAACCTATGTATTCAAGGTGTATATTTTTTTTTCTTACCTCAACAGCATTCTCCTGCCAAAGCAAGGTGACTCAGAAAGAAAACACATTCACCATCATTCATTCAACTGTTTTCTTTCCAGAAGTTTGCTGACAGATATTTTAAAAGCAATAAAACACACACAAATAATCTCCTAGGTAGTAGGTTGGTAGACAGCAACTGCCCAGGGAGGTACTACCGTCCTGCCAAGTGAGTGTAAGACAAAAGCCTGTAATTGTTTTATATGATGGTAGGATTGCTGGTGTCCTTTTTTCTGTCTCATGAACATGCAAGACTTCAGGTATGTCTTGCTACTTCTACTTACGCTTAGGTCACATTACACATACACGTACAAGCATAAATATACACACCCCTCTGGGTTTCCTTCTATTTTCTTTCTACTTCTTATTCTTGTTTATTTCCTCTTATCTCCATGGGGAAGTGGAACAGAATTCTTCCTCCATAAGCCATGCGTGTTGTAAGAGGCGACTAAAATGCCGGGAGCAAAGGGCTAGTAACCTCTTCTCCTGTATATATTACTAAATGTAAAAGGAGAAACTTTCATTTTTCCTTTTGGGCCACGCCGCCTCGGTGGGATACGGCCAGTGTGTTGAAAGAAAGAAGAAATAATATGTATTGTATTCCTCTCTATATTTCATCATTTTTATTTATTTATTTCCCCAGTGAATTATGGCAACCACAGTGAAGCAGAAAGGAGAGATTGTGTAACAATCACGTAAGTTCCCTGTTCCTCATGGCTCTTCACTGTTTCCTCAACAGACCGTGAGGTGGATTATACTGCCGAACTCTCACCAGTATATATCAAATAATGACTCAATATTAACACCATAACATTATATAAAGTGCATGAACAGTTACTTGGAGTAATAAATCTCTAGATTTATACACCCTACACTGCAATGAAAAACATTGTTACTATTAGTAATTTGAGAGCATTGTTGTCATACTTAAGATATAACAGTAATCCTGCCTTAGGATCCTGTCTTCTATCACTACTCATCATGCTGTACAGAGTAACTTGGCCTCGGTGCTCAGCAGAGAAACTTGGTCGTCCTGTTTTCAATTCAAGAGGCATCACCTGTAGAGATAATACATACAATTACTCTTCATCTGTCCATACCAAATCAGAAACTGCACACCAGAAAATAGTCTTGCAGAATTAACATTAAGGATGACCATCTTCTGCAATAATTTATCACCAACACATCCTAAGAACTTTCTAAAGAGAGGAATTTATTGTCATTTTAACTTGAATAGCTGTATCTCATTTACTTGAACTTGTCATAATAAAAAAAAAATTCACTTAACCCTTTCATTGTCCAGACCCCCAAAATTAATATTTCTCTCACTATCCACATTTTTTTTTTTAATTTCTTCTGAAATGGTAGAGAATCTTTTTCTGAAGGCAATGACACCAAGAGTACTAAACTTGATGGAAAACTTATGGAACTACAGTACATAGACACAAAGTTAGAAGTCTGGGTGCAATTTACACATTAGTTATTTTGCCCACTTTAGAGTCCTATTTTAAGACAATTTCATTGCTCCATTTAACCAAATTCAGTCCTATCAATTGAGCACAAGAAACTCCCATTCAACTATCAAAACTACCTGAAAAGTACCCCGAAGTTTTTTTTTTTTTATTATCACACTGGCCGATTCCCAACAGGGCAGGGTGGCCCGAAAAAGAAAAACTTTCACCATCATTCACTCCATCACTGTCTTGCCAGAAGGGTGCTTTACACTACAGTTTTTAAACTGCAACATTAACACCCCTCCTTCAGAGTGCAGGCACTGTACTTCCCATCTCCAGGACTCAAGTCCGGCCTGCCGGTTTCCCTGAGCCCCTTCATAAATGTTACTTCGCTCACACTCCAACAGCACGTCAAGTATTAAAAACCACTTGTCTCCATTCACTCCTATCAAACACGCTCACGCATGCCCACTGGAAGTCCAAGCCCCTCGCACACAAAACCTCCTTTACCCCCTCCCTCCAACCTTTCCTAGGCTGACCCCTACCCCACCTTCCTTCCACTACAGACTGATACACTCTTGAAGTCATTCTGTTTCGCTCCATTCTCTCTACATGTCTGAACCACCTGAACAACCCTTCCTCAGCCCTCTGGACAACAGTTTTGGTAATCCCGCACCTCCTCCTAACTTCCAAACTACGAATTCTCTGCATTATATTCACACCACACATTGCCCTCAGATATGACATCTCCACTGCCTCCAGCCTTCTCCTCGCTGCAACATTCATCACCCATGCTTCACACCCATATAAGTGTGTTGGTAGAACTATACTCTCATACATTCCCCTCTTTGCCTCCAAGGACAAAGTTCTTTGTCTCCACAGACTCCTAAGTGCACCACTCACCCTTTTCCCCTCATCAATTCTATGATTCACCTCATCTTTCATAGACCCATCCGCTGACACATCCACTCCCAAATATCTGAATACATTCACCTCCTCCATACTCTCTCCCTCCAATCTGATATCCAATCTTTCATCACCTAATCTTTTTGTTATCCTCATAACCTTACTCTTTCCTGCATTCACTTTTAGTTTTCTTCTTTTGCACATCCTACCAAATTCATCCACCAATCTCTGCAACTTCTCTTCAGAATCTCCCAAGAGCACAGTGTCATCAGCAAAGAGCAACTGTGATAACTCCCACTTTATGTGTGATTCTTTATCTTTTAACTCCACGCCTCTTGCCAAGACCCTCGCATTTACTTCTCTTACAACCCCATCTATAAATATATTAAACAACCACGGTGACATCACACATCCTTGTCTAAGGCCTACTTTTACTGGGAAATAATTTCCCTCTTTCCTACATACTCTAACTTGAGCCTCACTATCCTCGTAAAAACTCTTCACTGCTTTCAGTAACCTACCTCCTACACCATACACCTGCAACATCTGCCACACTGCCCCCCTATCCACCCTGTCATACACCCCCTACCTGGTCCACACACCCCCTACCTTTCCTAAAGCCTCCTTGTTCATCTGCTAACCTATTCTCCGTCTTACTCTTAATTCTTTCAATAATAACTCTACCATACACTTTACCAGGTATACTCAACAAACTTTTTTTTTTAACAAGTCGGCCAGTCTCCCATCGAGGCAGGGTGACTCAAAAAAAAGAAAATCCCCAAAAAGAAAATGCTTTCATCATCATTCAACACTTTCACCACACTCACACATTATCACTGTTTTTGCAGAGGTGCTCAGAATACAACAGTTTAGAAGCATACATGTATAAAGATACACAACATATCCCTCCAAACTGCCAATATCAACAAACTTATCCCCCTATAATTTTTGCACTCTCTTTTGTCCCCTTTGCCTTTATACAAAGGAACTATGCATGCTCTCTGCCAATCCCTAGGTACCTTACCTTCTTCCATTTTTTTTTTTTTTTCAACAAGTCAGCCATCTCCCACCGAGGCAGGGTGACCCAAAAAAGAAGGAAAATCCCCAAAAAGAAAATACTTTCATCATCATTCAACACTTTCACCACACTCGCACATTATCACTGTTTTTGCAGAGGTGCTCAGAATACACAGTTTAGAAGCATACACATATAAAGATACACAACATATCCCTCCAAACTGCCAATATCCCAAACCCCTCCTTTAAAGTGCAGGCATTGTACTTCCCATTTACAGGACTCAAATCTGACTATATGAAAATAACCGGTTTCCCTGAATCCCTTCACTAAATATTACCCTGCTCACACTCCAACAGATTGTCAGGTCCCAAGTACCATTCGTCTCCATTCACTCCTATCTAACACGCTCACGCATGCTTGCTGGAAGTCCAAGCCCCTTGCCCACAAAACCTCCTTTACCCCCTCTTTCCAACCCTTTCGAGGACGACCCCTACCCCGCCTTCCTTCCCCTATAGATTTATATGCTTTCCATGTCATTCTACTTTGATCCATTCTTCCATACATTTATTAAATAATTGCACCAACCACTCCAAAACTATATCCCCACCTGCTTTTAACATTTCTATCTTTATCCCATCAATCCCGGCTGCCTTACCCCCTTTCATTTTACCTACTGCCTCACGAACTTCCCCCACACTCACAATTGGCTCTTCCTCACTCCTACAAGATGTTATTCCTCCTTGCCCTATACATGAAATCACAGCTTCCCTATCTTCATCAACATTTAACAATTCTGCAAAATATTCCCTCCATCTTCCCAATACCTCTAACTCTCCATTTAATAACTCTCCTCTCCTATTTTTAACTGACAAATCCATTTGTTCTTTAGGCTTCCTTAACTTGTTAATCTCACTCCAAAACTTTTTCTTATTTTCAACAAAATTTGTTGATAACATCTCACCCACTCTCTCATTTGCTCTCTTTTTACATTGCTTCTCCACTCTCTTAACCTCTCTCTTTTTACATTGCTTCACCACTCTCTTAACCTCTCTCTTAATCTCCATATACTCTTCCCTCCTTGCATCACTTCTACTTTGTAAAAACTTCTCATATGCTAACTTTTTCTCCCTTACTACTCTCTTTACATCATCATTCCACCAATCGCTCCTCTTCCCTCCCGTACCCACCTTCCTGTAACCACAAACTTCTGCTGAACACTCCAACACTACATTTTTAAATCTACCCCATACCTCTTCGACCCCATTGCCTATGCTCTCATTAGCCCATCTATCCTCCAATAGCTGTTTATATCTTACCCTAACTGCCTCTTCTTTTAGTTTATAAACCTTCACCTCTCTCTTCCCTGATGCTTCAATTCTCCTTGTATCCCATCTACCTTTTACACTCAGTGTAGCTACAACTAGAAAGTGATCGGATATATCTGTGGCCCCTCTATAAACATGTACATCCTGAAGTCTACTCAACAGTCTTTTATCTACCAATACATAATCCAACAAACTACTGTCATTTTGCCCTACATCATATCTTGTATACTTATTTATCCTCTTTTTCTTAAAATATGTATTACCTATAACTAAACCCCTTTCTATACAAAGTTCAGTCAAATTACCAGAAGTTGGTAATTTGGCCAATTTTACACAAAATTAAAAAAAAAAAATACAATTTAAAAGTCGAGTCCAAAATAAACACTGTTGACATTCAAGACACTAAAACAAAATTTCCTCTGTTCGTTAGTCACATTCCTAGGCAACATTTGCCTTCCATTTTGAATCACACAAAATATGAAAGATTTACCCTATTTGTCAGATAATAAAATATACCCAGGAATGATTGGTCATGATTTGTATCATACTAATAAGCAAATCAGACCTATTAAAAACCATCCCAGAAAAACACCTCAAATTTGCTATTTTAACCCTTAAACGGTCCAAACGTATATATACGTTTTTTCAACATCTGACAGTATGTAAAAAAATGCAGATCTTTTTTGTTTTACATTTGAAAATGTGTAAAAAAAAGTATATCTACTTTTGGAGCACTACGAATTTGAACATTGATCTGTTTGGACCGTTTAAGGGTTAAACCAAAAACAAGATCAGGGTTTAACTTTTCCCATAATGCACCATGGGGGCAGCATTTTCTTTAGACAGTGCACACTCACTACACAGAGCCATTCTTTCATTTCTCTACCAAAATTTACCACTCACAACTTATCTGAGGGAGCTGTGCTCGAAAAATGTAAATCTACGTGAGGGACCCTTACATCAATAATGTAAACATGTGACAGCTACTGAAAGGATTAAGTGAAAGATATCACTGTCTCCTACCAATAGCATTAACCATTTTTTTTTTTTTTTACACCACTGAATTTACTGACAAACAAGTTTTCCTACCTTACCTCATTTGAAAACCCAGCCCTACTGAAGTTATCTCACCACACCCTAGAGTGAAATCCATAATAGTTAGCTAACACCTAGGTACCTAATTACTGTTAAGCGTACAGAGGCAACAGTTATAAGGAATCGAGCCCAATGTATTTACCTGCCCCAGGATCGAACTCAGATCCTTTACTTGTGAGCCGAAGATGCTGCCACTGTAACACCAGTCACCCTTTCCCTTCTGCCATCCAAAATCTTCAAAAATTAATTTGGGCCTCTCATAAATTACAACACTAAAAACTCTCATTTGAGTGTCAATAATATATTAACGTAAGAGCATTCTAAAATGTGTGCAATATCACCTTTGAGACACCATGTTCATTAGTCTTGACTGTTAAATCAATTTTGCCTTTCACACCAAACTTGGGTGACCATATATTTTCTTCTATATCCTGGATCTCCACTATTTTTCCATTCCACTGATTTTTTCTTTTTTCCTTTTCTTGAATTTTAACTGAAAATAAGAAAGATAAAACACTATTAGGCATTAAATAGCATACCTGTTATATTTTGATGGTTTTCTTCTTATTATTTTTAGTATGCTACATGGGAAAAGGGGTTACTAGCCCATTGCTCCTGGCATTTTAGTTGACTTTTACAGCACACATGGCTTACGGAGGAAAGATTCTTATTCCATTTCCCCATGGATATGAAAGGAAAAGTAACAAGAACAAGAACTATTAAGATAAAATCAAAGAAAACTCAGATGAGTGTGTATACATAAATGTGTACATGTATGTGTAGTGTGACCTAAGTGTAAGTAGAAGTAGCAAGATGTACCTGAAATCTTGCATGTTTATGAGACAGAAAAAAACGACACCAGCAATCCTACTATCACGTAAAATAATTACAGGCTTCCATTTTACACTCACTTGGCAGGATGGTAGTACCTCCCTGGGTGGTTACTGTCTACTCACCTACTACATTTGTAGTGTGGAAATTAGATGGTGGTGTGGAGTTACTAAAAGTATTAGTCAGGGGGCTGAAGAGGGGTTGTTGACCTGGTTTGGTCATTTAAAGAGAATGGAACAAAGTAAAAAGACTTGGAGAGAGTATAGTGGAACCTTGACTTATGAGTGCCCCAACTTATGAGTTTTCCGAGTTATGAGCTGTCGCTCAGTCGATTTTTTGCTTCGAGTTGCGAGCCAAAATCCGAGTTACGAGCGAGCTTCAGATATGCCACCACTAGTTGGCGGCGTATCTGAAGTTAAATCCAACTCTGTACCCAGAGGAATGTCAGGTACTTCGTCCCGTCCCACATGCTCTTCCAAGACATAACTGGAAGGATAATACTCCCACACTAATCCCAGATTGTAGAGAGGCACCTCATCCCTTGTTTGGTTCTCGTATAAATCCAGGGAAGAGGTAACCTCCATTTCAACACTCAAGAGTTTTTCCAGAAACATTAAGGTGGGTTGAGTACTGATAGTGGTGGGTGGAGTAGTGATGGTGTTGGGTGGAGTATTCACAGTTGTGGATGGAGTAATGATAATGGTGGGTTGAGTAGAAATGGTGGTGAGTGTAGTAGTGAGGGTGGTGGGTGGAGTAATGAGAGAGGTGGGTATAGCAGAGATAGTGCTGGGTGCAGTAGTGAAGGTGGTGGGTGGAGTAGAGATGGTGGTGGGTGGAATAGTGATAATGGTGGGTGGAGAGTATATATGGTGGTGGGGAGAGTATATACGGTGGTGGGCAGAGTAGATATGGTGGTGGGCAGAGTAAATATGGTGGTGGGTGTAGTAGAGATGGTGGTGGATGTAGTAGAGATGGTGGTGGGTGTAGTAGAGATGGTGGTGGGTGTAGTAGAGATGGTGGTGGGTGTAGTAGAGATGGTGGTGGGTGTAGTAGAGATGGCGGTGGGTGTAGTAGAGATGGCGGTGGGTGTAGTAGAGATGGCGGTGGTGTAGTAGAGATGGGTGGGTGTAGTAGAGATGGGGTGGGTGTAGTAAGAGATGGTGGTGGGTGGAGTAGAGATGGTGGTGGGTGTAGTAGAGATGGTGGTGGGTGGAGTAGAGATGGTGGTGGGTGGAGTAGAGATGGTGGTGGTGGAGTAGAGATGGTGGTGGGTGGAGTAGAGATGGTGGTGGGTGGAGTAGAGATGGTGGTGGAGGGTGGAGTAGAGATGGTGGGTGGTGGAGTAGAGATGGTGGTGGGTGGAGTAGAGATGGTGGTGGGTGGAGCAGAGATGGTGGTGGGTGGAGCAGAGATGGTGGTGGGTGGAGCAGAGATGGTGGTGGGTGGAGCAGAGATGGGTGGTGACAGAGATGGGGTGGAGCAGAGATGGTGGTGGGTGGAGCAGAGATGGTGGTGGGTGGAGCAGAGATGGTGGTGGGTGGAGCAGAGATGGTGGTGGGTGGAGCAGAGATGGTGGTGGTGGAGCAGAGATGGTGGTGGGTGGAGCAGAGATGGTGGTGGTGGAGCAGAGATGGTGGTGGGTGGAGCAGAGATGGTGGTGGGTGGAGCAGAGATGGTGGTGGGTGGAGCAGAGATGGTGGTGGGTGGAGCAGAGATGGTGGTGGGTGGAGCAGAGATGGTGGTGGGTGGAGCAGAGATGGTGGTGGGTGGAGCAGAGATGGTGGTGGGTGGAGCAGAGATGGTGGTGGGTGGAGCAGAGATGGTGGTGGGTGGAGCAGAGATGGTGGTGGGTGGAGCAGAGATGGTGGTGGGTGGAGTAGAGATGGTGGTGGGTGGAGTAGAGATGGTGGTGGTGGGTGGAGCAGAGATGGTGGTGGGTGGAGCAGAGATGGTGGTGGGTGGAGCAGAGATGGTGGTGGGTGGAGCAGAGATGGTGGTGGGTGGAGCAGAGATGGTGGTGGGTGGAGTAGAGATGGTGGTGGGTGGAGTAGAGATGGTGGTGGGTGGAGTAGAGATGGTGGTGGGTGGAGTAGTGAGGGTGTTGGGTGTTTTACCTGGTGTAGTAGTGATACTGGTGGGTGGAGAGTAGATATGGTTGTGGGGTGGAGTAGTGAGGGTGGTGGGTGGAACAGTGAGGGTGGTGGGTGTAGTAGTGATAATGGTGGGTGGAGAGAGTTAGAAATGGTGGTGGGTGTAGTAGATATGGTAGTGGGTGTAGTAGTGAAGGTGGTGGGTGGAGCAGAGATGGTGGTGGGTGGAACAGTGAGGGTGGTGGGTGGAACAGTGAGGGTGGTGGGTGTAGTAGTGATAATGGTGGGTGGAGAGAGTAGATATGGTGGTGGGTGTAGTGAGGGTGGTGGGTGTAGTAGAGATGGTAGTGGGTGATGTAGTGAAGGTGGTGGGTGTAGTAGAGATGGTGGTGGGTGGGTGGAGTAGAGATGGTGGTGGGTGTGGTGGGTAGGATGGTGGTGGGTGGGTGGGTGGGTGGGGAAGTGAGTGGAGAATACAATATTTCTTATTTATAAATACATTTTTCTCGTTTAAAAACTCTTAACAAAAAAATTGGGGTGGTTTTTGGGGGCTGGAACGGATTAATGGCATTTCAGTTAATTTCAATGAGGAAAATTTATTTAATATATGAGAAAATTGAGTTACGAGCTCGGTTATGGAACGAATTAAACTCTTAAGTCAAGGTACCACTGTATACATCTGTAGGGGAATGAAGGTGGGGCAGGGTTCATCCTTGAAAATTTTGGAGGGAGGGTGTAAAGGAGGTTTGTGGGTAAGGGGCTTGGACTTCCAGCAAGCATGTGCGAGCGTGTTAGGTAGGAGTGAATGGAAATGAATGGTTTTTGGGACCTGACAAGCTGTTGGAGTATGAGCAAAGTAATGTTTTGTGAAGGGTTTCAGGGAAACCTGTTAGCCGGACTTGAGTCCTGGAGGTGGGAAGTACAATGCCTGCACTTTAAGGGAGGGATTTGGGATATTGGCGGTTTGAAGGGACATCTAAACTGTCGTATCTGAGCGCCTCTGCAAAGACAGTGATTTTGTATAAGTGATGGTGGAAATGTTGAATGATGAAAATGTTTTTCTTTCTTCTTGGGTCACCCTGCTTCAGTGGGAAATGGCCGACGTGTTAAAAAAAATCATCATATTCATACAGGACTATTTGTTATTGCTGTTCTTGTTGCTGAACAGCGGTTTGGTGCCGATGAAGGTAGCGTAGGTAGCAATGATACGGCCGTGGACTAGTTTGGCTTTAATTGGATAGGAGTGAGTACACAACGGGCAGTGTGAGGGAGTGACCGCAAGCCAGTCCGTGGAGGGGGAGCACTTGTGTCTATCAAGTCGGTCGGCCTAGGAGTGAGAGCAGTTGGGCTGAGCCTCCCACTGACCTGGGTGAGCCTACAGAGGGCAGCACCTAAATGCCGCGAAATATGAACTAGTCAGAGCAGACGGCTAGGCCGTGTGTTCTAACAGTACAGGCTGTCTACATATTGCAATTGGAATCAATATCCACTGGAGTACTAACAAAATGTTTTATGTCAAGTTCTAGTGTGATTTCTTTATTATGAATTATTAAGAATGAATGCTAAGATGTTAGATAGGGAGGTGGGGGTAAAGGAAAAATGGAGAATTTTACGAACTGTTAAATGTTGATAATGAAAGGGACGTGATGATTTAAAGCATTCAACAAAGTTCAGAAAATTTAGTGAGCAATTTATGTTGGGGAAGTACACTGGTCAATATAAGTAGGAAACTAAAATTTAGTTTTTACACTTCCACCTACCTACCCTATCTCCCCATCTCTCTCCATAAACATGCAAGGTTGCAGGTATGTCTTGATACTTCTACATGTACTTACAATTAGGTCACATTACACATGCATGTACAAGCATATATATACTAACCCCTCTGGGTTTTCTTCTATTTTCTTCCTAGTTCTTGTTCATTTCTGCTTATCTCCATGGGGAAGTGGAACAGAATTCTTCCTCCATAAGCTATGCGTGTTGTAAGAGGCGACTAAATGCCGGGAGCAATAGACTAGTTACCCCTTCTCCTGTATAAATTACTAAAAACAAGGAAAAGAAAAATGATTGCTAATGTTATGAATTAAAATAATAATAATAATAATATAATATCTTTATTTTACTACAAGTACATGCACAGGGTATACAGTCCTAGCTGATAACAATAACATACTACTATATAGAAAGTCCCTTGTTATGCTCCGCATTTCGGGCAAATTCCAGGATGCGACCCACACCAGTCGACTAACACCCAGGTACCCATTTTACTGATGGGGAACATAGACAACAGGTAGAAAGAAACACGTCCAATGTTTCTACTCTGGCTTGGACGTCCTAGCCCCAAGCGAAACAAAGCTGAACGGGGTAGGGGTTTCAGCGAGGAGAAATAAATGGGATTATGTCAGGAGTATCTAAGAGTTAGAGCTAAGGAAGGGGTAGCAATAATGTTGAAGAATCGGTTATGGAGAGAGAAGAGGGAATATAAATGTATAAATTCATGGATTATGTGGATTAAAATAAGGGTCAGATGTAAAAAATGGGTCATAAGTGTATGCACCTGGAGAAGAGAGGAGTGTAGAGGAGAGAGAGAGAGAGAGAGAGATTGAGATTTTGCGAGATGCTAAGCGAGTGCGTAGGAACTTTTGAGCCAAGTGAAAGTAATTGTGGTAGGGGACCTAAATGCTAAAAGAGAAGAAGCATTTAGAGAGTGTGTGGTAGGTAAGTTTGGGGTGCCAGGTGTAAATGATAATGGGGAGCATTTGATTGAACTTTGTATAGAAAGAGGTTTGGTTATAGGTAACACATATTTTAAGAAAAAAGAGTAAGTATACAAGATATGATGTAGGAAAAAACGACAGTAGTTTGTTGGACTACGTATTGGTAGATAAAAGACTGTTGGGTAGACTTCAGGATGTACATGTTTATAGAGGAGCCACAGATATATCAGATCACTTTTTAGTTGTAGCTACACTGAGAGTAAAAGGTAGATGGGATACAAGGAGAATGGAAACAGCAAGTAAGAGAAGTGAAGTTTTATAAACTAAAGGAGGAGTCAGTTAGGGTAGGATATAAACACATGTTGGAGGATATATGGACTAGTGAGAGTATAGGCAATAGGGTAGAAGATGTATGGGGTATGTTTAAGAATAATGTTAGAATATTCAGCAGAAGTTTGTGGTTACAGAAAAGTGGGTGCAGGAAGAAGTGCAATTGGTGGAATGATGATGTATAGAGAGTAGTAAGAGAAAAAGTTAGCATATGGAGAGAAAAAGAGAGGTTAATAGAGTGGTGAAGCAATGTAAAAAGAGCAAATGAGAGGGTGGGTGAGATGTTATCAACAAATTTTGTTGAAAAATAAGAAAAAGTGTCAGAGTGAGATTAATAAGTTGAGAAAGCCTAGGGAAAGAATGGATATGTTAAAAATAGGAGAGGAGAGTTATTAAATGGAGAGTTAAAGGTATCGCTTCCGATACCTCTAAATATTTTGAGGAATTGTTAAATGTTAATGAAGATAGGGAAGCTGTGTTTTCATGTGTAGGGCAAGGAGGAATAACACCTTATAGGAGTGAGGAAGAACCAGTTGTGAGTGTGGGGGAAGTGCATGGGGCAGCGGGTAGAATGAAAGAGGGTAAAGCAGCTGGGATTGATGGGATAAAGATAAAAATGTTAAAAGCAGGTGGGGATATAATTTTGGAGCGGTTAGTGTTTTTATTTAATAAAATTATGGAAGAGGGTAAGGTACCTAGGGATCAGCAGAGAGCATGCATAGTTCCTTTATATGAAGGCAAAGGGGACAAAAGAGTAAAAATTATAGGAGAATAAGTCTGTTGAGTATACCTGGTCAAGTGAATGGTAGTCATTACTGAAAGAATTAAGAGTAAGGCAGAGGGCAGGATAGCAGATGAACAAGGAGGCTTTAGGAAGGGTAGAGGGTGTATAGAGCAAGTGCTTGCAGTGAAACATAGGTGAACAGTATTTAGATAAGGGTAAAGAGGTATCTGTGGCATTTATGGATTTGGAAAAGGCATATGATAGGGTGGATAGGGGGAAAAGCGGTGAAAAGTTTTAACGAGGATAGAGAAACTTAGGTTAGAGTACGTAAGCGATAGGGAGATTATTTCCCAGTAAAAGTAGGCCTTAGACAGGGATGTGTGATGTCACCACAGTTGTTCAATATATTTATAAATGGAGTCGTAAGAGAAATGAATGCTCCGGTGTTGGCAAGAGGTGTGGGGTTAAAAGATAAAGAATCGAACACAAAGTGGGAGTTGTCACAGTTGCTTTTTGCTGATGACACTGCTTTTGGGAGATTCTGAAGAGAAGCTGCAGAGGTTAGTTGATGAGTTTGGTATGGTATGTAAAAGAAGGAAATTAAAAGTGAATATAGGAAAGAGTAAGGTGATGAGGATAACAAAAAAAAGGTAACAGAAGATTGGATATCAGATTGGAGGGAGAGAGTATGGAAGAGGTGTATGTGTTCAGATATATGGAAGTGGACATGTCAGCAGACGGGTCTATGAAGGATGAGGTGAATCATAGAATTGACGAGGGGAAAAAGGCGAGTGGTGCACTGAGGAGTCTGTGGAGACGAAGAACTTTATCCAAGAAAGCAAAGACGGGAATATATGAGAATATAGTTCTACTAATGCTCTTGTATGGGTGTGAGGCATAGGTTGTGAATGTTGCAACAATGAGAAGGCAGGAGGCAGTGGAGATGTCATGTCTGAGAGCAATGTGTGGTGTGAATGTAATGCAGAGAATCTGTAGTTTGGAGATTAGGTGGTATGGAATTACCAAAATTATTATCCAGAGGGCTGAGGAGGGGTTATTGAGAGGGTTTGGACATGTAGAGAGGGTGGAACAAAAAAGAATGACTGACAGTGTATAAATCTTTAGTGGAGGGAAGGTGGGGTAGGGGTCAGCCTAGGTAAGGCTAGAGGGAGGGAGGTAAAGGTGGTTTTGTGTGAGAGGGGCTTGGACTTCCAGCAAGCATGCGTGAGTGTGTTAGATAGGGGCGAATGGAGACAAATGGTTTTTAGGACTTTATGTGCTGTTGGAGTGTAAGCAAAGTAACATTTATGAAGGGATTCAGGGAAACCGGCAGGCCGGACTTGATTCCTGGAGATGGGAAGTACAGTGCCGCCACTCTGAAGGAGGGGTGTTAATGTTGCAGTTTTATAACTGTAGTGTAAGCATGCCTCTGGCAAGACAGTGATGGAGTGAATGATGATGATAGTTTTTCTTTTTCGGGCCACCCTGCCTTGGTGGGAAACAGCCGATGTGTTAATAAAAAAATTCATTTGTACGAGTGGCATCCAACGAGGACACAGAAAACCTCTAAGCCAAATTAAACAAAGTTGTCCAGTGAGCCTCATAATACAATATTAAACAAGGATTTCTTTCTTTCGCTGCTCCACTATGAAAAATAGAATGAATAAAAATTGGAGCAACATAAAACTCAATCAAACCATTTTATATATTTTTTTTTAACACACTGCCAGTCTCCCACTGAGGCAAGGTGACCTGAAAAAAAAAAAACTTACACCATCACTGTTTTGCCAGAAGAGCACAGATAAGACAGTTTAGATATCTCTCCAAACATCATATATCCCCAACCCCTCCTTTTTGAGTGGAAGCACTGTACTTTCCACCTTCTAAGGTAGCCATGCTAGAAGATCTTACATTCATGGAATGCAATAATTACCATAACAAACACAAGGAGGTTTATCATTGTGATAACAAGAATCTTTACAACAAGAGATGAAAAACAATTGCTGATTTTCTTTAAGGCCCTAATATGCTCTAGAACCCTTTTTCAGAAGAGGGAAACTGCAGACCAGGAGACTGTAAAGATAACTTTCACTTCTTTTATAACCCTATAAAATGGTCATAGGAGCAAATTAAATAAAATATGACAAAATTCAATTATTTACACGAAATGCAATTTACATATGGCCTTTTATCCCCTACCTGAACAGGAAGACTCAAGGTAAACTTGTGACCAAGCATGTATATAAGGTATAAAATTTTTCATTTCTTCATAAATATGGGCTTCAGATATCCCAATACCATAAAGTTCCTGCAGTATCTTGGGTTGAGACATCAACTCTTGCACTAGACGGTCAAGTTCATTGGGAGTCTGAGTCTTTTTTTTAACAACCTATAAAAAAATTGAAACAGCACCTACAGATAGTTATCTTTCCATTTTTTTTTTTTACAATGTACATTAAAATTTATGTTTAAGTTTGCCGACCTTAAATACTTTGCAAAAACTTAATATAGCACTATAACAGTATGCTTCTCCCTGGCTTTATGCAGTGACCTCAATTCTACCAGGAATATGCTATGCGTGGTATAAATTTGCTATTATAAAATCACCTATGCCTGGCACCTCTTGATTTTTAAACAATGTACAATATACAAGTTTATATTAACATTTTTAAGAATGTTTAAGTCTTGCATTATTTAAAAAGAAAATGGAGACATGAAGCCGCTATACAGCAGACCCCCGATTTACGATGTCCTCAACCTATGTTGAAACTGACTTACGATGCTTGTCAGAGTAAAAATTTGACCCCGATCTACGTTGAAAAATTTGACTTACATCATTCGTCTCGAATGCGGCCGTCTGGTCCGTCTAGCCTGAGCGCCTCAGCTGAGCTAGTGTGACATTGTTTACAAGCCGGGGCGGACAGTTGTACGCATACATTCGATAAATTTTGTATTATTCCAGTGTTTTTAGTGCTTGTAACTGCTAAATAAGCCACCATGGGCCCAAAGAAAGCTTCTAGTGCCATCCCTGTGGTAAAAAGGGCGAGAAATACTATCGAAATACTATCGTACCATGGTCAGCTGCTGCTGCTGCTGCAGCACTGCCAGCTGCTGTTGCACCACCACCAGCTGCTGCTGCACCACGGTCAGCTGCTGCTGCTGCACCACAGTCAGCTGCTGCTGCTGCACCACGGTCAGCTGCTGCTGCTGCACCACGGTCAGCTGCTGCTGCTGCACCACGGTCAGCTGCTGCTGCTGCACCACGGTCAGCTGCTGCTGCTGCACCACGGTCAGCTGCTGCTGCTGCACCACGGTCAGCTGCTGCTGCTGCTGCACCACGGTCAGCTGCTGCTGCTGCACCACGGTCAGCTGCTGCTGCTGCTGCACCACGGTCAGCTGCTGCTGCTGCCTGCACCACGGTCAGCTGCTGCTGCTGCTGCACCACGGTCAGCTGCTGCTGCTGCACCACGGTCAGCTGCTGCTGCTGCACCACGGTCAGCTGCTGCTGCTGCACCACGGTCAGCTGCTGCTGCTGCACCACGGTCAGCTGCTGCTGCTGCACCACGGTCAGCTGCTGCTGCTGCTGCACCACGGTCAGCTGCTGCTGCTGCTGCACCATGGTCAGCTGCTGCTGCTGCACCACAGTCAGCTGCTGCTGCACCACGGTCAGCTGCTGCTGCACCACAGTCAGCTGCTGCTGCACCACGGTCAGCTGCTGCACCATGGTCAGCTGCTGCTGCACCACTGTCAGCTGTACTGCTTGAAGATGTGGAGAGACTGTTATTGGTGTGGTTTATCGAGAATACCGAGAAACAATTAACCCCAGAGGGTTAGCCACCCAGGATAACCCAAGAAAGTCAGTGTGTCATCGAGGACTGTCTAACTTGTTTCCGTTGGGTTCCTTAATCTTGTCCCCCAGGATGTGACCCACACCAGTCAACTAACGCCCAGGTGAACAGGAAAAAATGCCTGGAACTAGTGCTCCATTGGTGAATTTAAGGTCAGCAAAGGTTGGTTTGAGATTTAAGAATCATAGTGGCATACACAGTGTGATAACGCCTGTTCTGGAAGAAAATGCCAAATAGGAACTACATTACTCAGGAAGAAAAGGCACTCCCAGGACACAGTGTCTCATCACTCATCACATCTTCAATAAAGGTGTCATTTATTCTTCATTTAGTATACTAGTACATGCACAATATACATTATATTGTGCATGTATCCTTTTTTTTGTGTGGGAAAATGTATATTTCATGTGGTAAAAATTTTTTTTTTCATACTTTTGGGTGTCTCAAATGGATTAATTTGATTTCCATTATTTCTTATGGGGAAAAATTAATTCGACTTACAATAATTTCGTCTTACGATGTGCTTTCAGGAACGGATTAATATCGTAAGTCAGGGGTCCACTGTATATCTCTCTCTATCTATACCTTAAACATTACATTTCAAAACAATATACTTCCCAACACAAATTTTACACAAAGCTTTTACATTTCATTCAGTTTGCTTAAACACTGACAGTACTAATCACTTCAAACACTATACTGCATTTGGGTACATTGTAATATATTTTATTGGTCAACATTTGGACCAATATTTTATTAAATATTGGTCCAAATGTTGATAGTCAATGAACTGACAAGTTTTCTTTTTTTTAATATATTGGTATCTATAACCTGACCTCTTGAAAAAGTTGATGCACGAGAGAGCCAATGAGCATCAACTGGTTACCAGAATCCATGCCTTTGAAGCGTTCATTCAAGACAGCCTTACGACGACAGAAGACCGCTGACACAACAGAAGTTCCAGAGATGAGAAAATCTGGGTTGATCACGATGAGACC